GATCTGTATACATACGATATACTGTAATGTATGTATGTACATGACTCAGGATAATAGATCATTTAGGCCACGTTGTCCACTCCCTGTAGCACTCGCTAGTGGAATCGAGTTGTATAATTGTATATAACTCGATTCCACTAGATTTACTATGTAACAAATTAATTCAACTCCACGCATGTCACCCCTATTTTGATTACTTATCTAATTTAATTCTAAACTGTTAAATTCCATTGTATTTAATTTAGATTAATGGCATTTTTATCCTCACTTTGTAAGTTAATGGCTGTTGCCAAGAACATATCAACGACGTAATTAGTTTATTGAATTTATTATGTCTATTTAGTTGCTCATATTATATGAGATCTAAAAAGTCGTATTTTAAAACTTGTAGTCCCAAGACTCTACAATTGAGACTACAGCATGGGGTTTTTCAAGACGAAGATTTTCCATTTCGTGGTATAAAATAAAACATAATCCCAGTCAAGAAATCTCTAAACTTTTCATCTACATTGTTTAAATTCATTGATATAATGTAATGAATACTGTCAAATTCAAATTTAAGAACATTTATTCATGTAGGTCATTTTAGTCGCTTTACCGTCCAGTTCTGTATACAGATTCAATTGAGAAGAACTGGCAAGAAACTCAATAGATTTTTTTTTAATAAGCCAGTTTATTAACAATGTATATTTATAAAGGTGTCTATGTGTAACATTAAATGAAAATCCCGTGCATGCACGCTTGTCATTAAAGTAATCGTTTAGTCGTATTGTCCACGCCACGTTTTCATTTTTAATACAATTCATTGTCTATGGCCCTACTACACAATTGCGGAGCTGGGTAAATAGAAGTCTTATATTATTCAAGTTTTAACTTTTATTAGAATCACGTAGAATCTCGCTGTTTTCCAAATTGAGTGTACTTATGTCGAAAGCACTTAAGCGGACGACTGCGTCGACACTCGTAAACTTAGGTGTAAACTGGGGAAGACATAAATAAGCAGCTTGTCGCTTAGACACTGATGGGTGCTATATACATATTAAACATATATACAAATCAATAGGTCTGTAAACACGTTGTTTAACCCAGTTTAAAAATAAGTTTATCACTCTAATGACTGCCATGATCTAGCAGTTTAGCACACAGCTTTAATTTAGATTCCTCGCCCAGTATAAAGATTTGTATTCATAAGTATGATTGTTTGTATTGGTCTGAATGGTATATTATGTATGTATTTACAAAAAGAAATATTTAAGTGTTGTCTAGTAAACATAACACAAGCGTTGCTTAGCTTGTCAGTCAATGTCGTCATATGTATTGCTATTATTATTTCATAATAGTTTTGTTTCCATTAATTTTTGTTTTTAGAAGAACAAAAATGTAGCTACTTGTAAAACATTGTATGTAAGTAGACACCAATAAAATACAAATATGGCTAATAAAAATTAATAGTCTTGATAACTAGCATTCCCGACCCTGAACCGTAAAGTGTGGGTCCATAAATAAAGTAAACAAAGCACTAAAGAACAGATTTTCCGAAATTTTCACCAGTATGCACATTAAGAAATTCGGGTTAGGCGACTGGCAATGACTACTTTAGTAAAATAAATACTAGGCACGCATAAATACCAGATGTTATACACAAGTTTTTTTATCGGTTCATTGATCTGCCATAATCATATAAATTTGTCAAGAGTAGTTAACGGATCGTCTAATCAATCGACGGATATAGATTTACCTTGACGGCTATCGGCGCTAACATGATCTCTATTCGTCGAGAGCTATCTCCTATTTATAGTTCTTTAACTATCCAATTATTTTGTATGTGGCTCGTTTCGTAAAAATATAACGGAGCAATACAGTGTAAAAATTTTGTTTTGTTACTTAATCAATCAACAGTTGAACTTATGTAGATGAAAACTCATGTTGTGTATTCACTTCTACAAGTATCTATTTGCGTAAAAATATACCGAAGAGCTTTCTGAAGATGAAGTCAGCAGTCTCGACGAAACCAGTATAGTGCTAACTGGTATTTATTATCTCTAATAAGATAAGATTTCCAAATCTAATCAAGTCAATGATAAATATAAATCAAACGCTCCACTTCTAAGGGCCTAAACACATCTTTTGACAACTTGATTTTCATAATACTAAGTGTTTCATTATAGTAGCACCCTACAAAACAAAATTCAAAGGATTAAAAAATCGAAAGGGAACATGCATATATTCGTTATATCACGTACTTAATTTGTTTATCTGACATTTGTTATTAAGGTTAGGTTGTTATAAAATTTGTTATATCAAGATATTTGTATAGTTTCATTTAACCCCAATATTACGTACTCCTCTTGTTCAATCAAACATCGTCTAATAATGGTAACACAATTTGATCAAAGTACAGTATGTATTTTCTATAATTATTTAATGGAGGAAACGTTATATAAAGGTTTTAAGTCTTTTTTTGTAGTTGAAAATTTGTTATAAATAGGTTGTTCGTAATATAAAATTATATTTTTGTATTTTTATATTAAATTACATTGATTCCTATGAGCAATTCAAGAAGAATACGAGCAAATTGTTAAATCTAGAAAAAAAATATATTGGTAATTAATTATATTGGTTGTACTGTAGTAAGCTACTTGAAAGCAGAAGTTGCAAATGGGACAGGTGTCAATGCAGACATCTTCATGCAAAATCTTATTCATGACGGTCTCTATAGCTTTGCTATAAGATTCCTTTTTTAAACTTCATGCAAAATCTTTTCATGACGGTCTCTATAGCTTTGCTATAAGATTCCTTTTTTAAACTTCATGCAAAATCTTTTCATGACGGTCTCTATAGCTTTGCTATAAGATTCCTTTTTTAAACTTCATGCAAAATCTTTTCATGACGGTCTCTATAGCTTTGCTATAAGATTCCTTTTTTAAACTTCATGCAAAATCTTTTCATGACGGTCTCTATAGCTTTGCTATAAGATTCCTTTTTTAAACTTCATGCAAAATCTTTTCATGACGGTCTCTATAGCTTTGCTATAAGATTCCTTTTTTAAACTTCATGCAAAATCTTATTCATGACGGTCTCTATAGCTTTGCTATAAGATTCCTTTTTTAAACTCCATGCAAAATCTTTTTCATGACGGTCTCTATAGCTTTGCTATAAGATTCCTTTTTTAAACTTCATGCAAAATCTTATTCATGACGGTCTCTATAGCTTTGCTATAAGATTCCTTTTTTAAACTTCATGCAAAATCTTATTCATGACGGTCTCTATAGCTTTGCTATAAGATTCCTTTTTTAAACTCCATGCAAAATCTTTTTCATGACGGTCTCTATAGCTTTACTATAAGATTCCTTATTTATGCCGTTGCGTTTACCAACGAATTATTGATCCTTGGATAATTCGTATGTTACTTTAATTCTCATTCACCACATATCGATTATTATAAACATTCCCTTACTTCGTGTACGTGCTGGGAATTAATTGGGTCAGTGTCGTGAATAGCTTGAATAGTTGCGTGGGGCTTTGTTGTGTTACTTTTAAAATCAACCCCGGCATACCCTGCTTCGTTTGTTGAGTTTCAGTTGTTGCTTTTAGGCCTGTTTATAAAGGGCGTTTAAAAATCGGTGTTAACTTGGCACCGGCGGTAATATCATTATTATTGTGATATCATTTGTCAGTGTCTGGTTTAGATTAATAAGCCGTCATCTGTCTAAATACCTATTTAGTTATCAAACTTTTTATTGAAAATTGAGTAATTTGAAATTATATGAAGATGAGAAAACGCAAACACGTAATTTTCATTTGAACTTCTATTATTCTAATTAAAATAACTCATGATAATCAGTATCATGAGTTATTTTAATTAGAATAATAGAAGTAGCATAAGAGATACCGTTTTTAAATGAAAATTACGTGTTTGCGTTTTGTCTAGCGATCTCAGATCCATTGTTTGAAAAAGAGAGAAAGGTCTTGTTTAATATACTTGGTTGTTCGATTGCTAAATCATATGGTACGTAGACATTTGGCAGCCTTTATATTTTGAAGCATAGAGAAATTCTAACGACTTATAGACATTTAGATGATCGTAGTGAATTCGCTGCGGTCCATTTGGGAAGACCATATTTATTGGTCGTACAACTTCAAAATGCTCGCTTTATGGCATCTTAACATGTGAGTGAAAGCTTTGATAATACGTTTTCATTGTGGTTTCATTATAGTTTACTCCATTAAGTAATAAAATTTGGAGATTTACGCAACATCTCCAGTCACAATTGGACGAGCAGTACCAAATTGTTTCTAATTACCTCACTGCGATATAGCTGACGATTGTAAAAGTTAACGAAGATTTATCGTTTTAGAAATAATACTTATGATGTAATCCACAACAAAGGTATGAAATTATGCTTTGTGTATTCAGCGCTGGATTTAGAATTCTTTAGACTTTAGCTTTTGGAAATGTGTTATATGTTGCATTTGAGTAAATGATAATAATAAACTTTTTTAAACTGTCTCAAGAAAGAAGCTTTTTGGCTATACTATTTTAAATATTCAGATTAATAATAAATGTATGTGCTGAATATTTATTCATAATAAAAAAATGCATTTATTTCAATGTAGACCAAGTGATTTCGCTATTCTCCTGTACTGTTTGTATGTTTAGACATTTATGTAAAAACGTGGTATAAAATTTACTTCGAAAAATAATAGGTAAGGGTAAATAAACTTGCGGTTGATTTGATGGTAAGTGATTACGTCGCCCATGAGCGCCAGAGTAATTGCAAATGTGTTGCCGGCCTTTTAGGGGTAAGCTCTTTTTTTGAAGGTTTTAATATCGTATAGGAAAACCATAGCTGGAAGGTGATTCCACAATGTGGTTTTGCGTTTCTAGAAAACGCAAATTGAAGAGCTGAATCTAAAAGAAATCTCCTAAGATTACATACCATTTACTATCAATCCGAAGTTCATTGTATTAAGACTAACATACATGTTTTCTTTAACAGCGTCAGCAGAAGCCCTAGACCGAGCGAGATTAGCACGAGAGAGGCGCGAGGCCGAACAGAGGAAACGGTTAGACGAATTGCGCGCGCACGCCGCGGCTGCGCAGGCGCAACGTGAGAAGCGAGACGAGGAGCGGCGCCGGAGGCAGGCCGAGCAGCGCGCCAGGGACGACGACAGGCGGCAGCAGGTCGGTGTGAATATGCCTGTCGTAAGTTAGAACTAATTTACTAATCAGGGAACCAAGGTTGCTTGCAATTCGTAATATGGTACATCGTAACCTCACAACACCGGAATAAACCATACATAGTTATTTTTAAACGTAACGTGTTTAATATACTTTACTAAATGTGCGGTTACATTACGCGTGAAATTTGTAGCCTATGAAATTATGATGTATAAACTATATTAGTGCAAAGTTTCATCAAAATCCATTCTGTAGTAATAGTAACAAACATCCATCCATCCATACTCACAAACTTTCACCTTTATAATATTAGTAAGAGATTTATATTGTTAAAAGGGTTTTGAATTGAATTTGAATAATTTTATGGTAAACTAGCTACTCGCCCCAGCTTCAGTGTAGGTGTATTATAAACCTTCCTCTTGAATCACTCTATCTATTAGAAAAACCGCTTCAAAATCCGTTGCGTTGTTTTAAAGATTTAAGCATACATAGGGACGGACAGACAGCGACAGCTACTTTATTTTATACAATGTAATGATAAAGGTATTTACCTATCCCGACGATTCGACTATTTTGCACTAGCCGTGGTCACTAGCTGACTGGAGTAACGCCGATTTCAATTATGGTAGGTGCCAGCAGTTTTTCTACTACTTTCGAGAAAGATATCTTAATTTTGCATAAAATTATTGGTGTTATGTCCCGGTTAACAATATAAATAGTATAAACATACATATCTGTATATCACATGCCTATATGTTCTTCGAATTCTAATTCCGAACGTAGATGCAAACAGAATGCTAGTGGCAGACCGCCACAACTGCAGATATGTGTTTCTATCGAATGCCTACATTCCTATGACATCGGCATGCAGCCTGAATACTATGAAAGAGCGACAAACAAAATACAAACTGAACCTTAAAGTCACAAAGGCAAAAATTATAATTTTGTTTAATAACAAAATATCTGGGGTTTATGATGAACAAAACAATCTTTCCGTCTACGGGCCCAAAATACGTAATTACTTACATACATTATTTTTGTATGCATATATACACGTATTGAGCTTTACCATTCGTTTCGTTTTGGAATTCGAAAAAAGATATTTCGACGTCATCAAAATAGTACAGACTTAAATAATGGCACCTTTAAACTCTTTTAACCTTTAAACTCCTGACTGGCTTTCGGGTTATGGTTTATGGTTTTGGTAATATTGCTTTTTTGACCGACCGCAGTAGCGATGAAATAGAATATTAATTTAGTCTAGGAAGTACTACTACACAATTTGTATATTTATATATTAACGGTTGAAAGCGGAATTCTCGTAACTTGAAAAACCCAACTTTAAACCAGAGCAAAAAAATAACATGTACACTATTGTACACTCTTCTCTTAAGAAGTATTATATACGACCTCGGTGGTCTAGCGGTCTAGCACACCGCTTTACGTCCGATGGTCGCGGGTTCGATTCCTCGCACGGCACAAACATTTGTATTCATGAGTATAATTGTTTGTATCGGTCTGGGTGTTTTCTCTTGTATAATATGTAAGTATTTACGTCATTTATTTAAATCATTATATTCAATTACTTTCAGTATATAATTACTATAATATATTATTTTTCATACTCATAGTTATTACTGCAAGTTCGCATACTTCAAACTATATAATTAATATGTTCACATGAAAAACATGGGAGCTCCCACACCAACGAACGTAACTGCATTAAACATTGCTTCCAATAACACATGATATTTAATGCCAATCGTGTATTACAATTCTATCCATACAGTAAATTATGTTGTAATCAAATTGTTTGCTGTCTGTATGTGTACAAAACATATCATCACTCTACGATGAAAAGGAGTAGAACTGCAATGAAAAATGTAGCAAAAAAGGCGAGAATGTGACGCAGACGAAGTTGTCTTTTCTACATTTATAAATATTTATATTGTATCGTAGATATGACAGATATACTTGTTACACGGCTATTTAATAAGGATAGCTGTATTCTTCAATCTTTAATACCAACATTACAGAAAGTCAAACATTTATATCTTGCCAATATAGCCATTAAATTGTTGCCGCTGCGATTTGATATTGTTCCATTCTCCACGAAATTTTAAGTTTGACAAGACATGTAGTGGCAAGACAAGAAATTAGTTTTTCTTTTGGGAGCTCCAAAAGAAACACAAATTTCAAATCCCGCGCGAATAACTCAGCAATATTTTGCTCAAAATGCAATCTCCCGCAGAATGCCGGCCGAGCCGGACTGCAACACATCGTAACTTCACTTTCTCCATTCAAGTAATATAATAGTTACGTACGGTGAAAATTAGAAATTACAGTGCACTGCGAAAACAAAACAGCCACCGACAGTTGTAAATAATGACAAAACACTGCTAGCAAATAGCTATTTAATGTCTCACCTGTAGGATACGGCAACAAAAGTGTAAAAGATTTAACGTCTAAACAGTTTTTTAAAGGTATCGTAAATCGGAGCAATCACTATAATAAAACATTAAAGAGAAGGCATATTTTATATATTAATAATTGATTTCGGTATGTCTACACCACGACCGTAGCAAACAAACAGATTACGAATAGAATATAAATAAAAGTCTTTTTTGGATAATGCGTTTGGAAACTCATCATAGGAGAGCATTGCAATACAGTATATATGACTTGTTCTACAATGAATTCCACTAATATGCTTGGCAGAAACGATTACAAAAATCCATTCAATTCAAGCGTTTCGTGCCCAAAAAAGTAGAATTTCTAAGATAGTAGTTGAAAAATGTACCCGATTCCGTGCAAGAAATTCTATGGCCTGTAAAATGTTGAATGTTGAAATCTAGCAAATTTATGTATTTCACTGGCTGTGCCCCGCCATTTTGCATGCTGTGCCGTCTAATTTAAATGGAATTTTAGCGCCCCTCCTGGCCGCCACCCTAGACTTTGAATTCCCTTAACATTTCCCCTTGCTCTTTTTTTTTGTTCGACTCAGTCGCAGCTTCATATTTAATAGCCTTACAATCTTCCTTAGCTTTCATACAGCTATAAAATTTAAAAAGATTTTTTCAAATACAACTTGTAGTTTCAGAGATTAACGCGTTTAAATGAATAAACAAACCCTTCCACTTTTATATATTGGTATAGGATTATGTAGGATAGTTTTGACTCTAAATCACGGGTAAAGCCATACGTCGCAGTAGAAACTATAAGAGATCACGGTTTATAACTAATAGGTGCATTTACAATCCTTTAGTAGACGAAATATGCATAATATGAATGCTATGCATGCTATTATGAATAGTTTAGTTTAATACTTCCTATAGTATGGGAAAACTACGTAGGCATCATTATGCAATGTTTTTCATTATTTTGATTAAACATAATTTATATTTGTGAATGCCTATTTGTCAGACGTTTACAATTTGTAGAATATTGGATGGAGCATATAATTTAAAGATGATTCTAGAATAAACTGCAGATTTAAAGGTACACTTTCATAAACCATTACTGAATCTACACTGTTATATAGTGCAATATATACGAATATTAGTGTAATAGATACTGACTGATTTTTACTTTGAAGGGATTAAGATCTTTTTCAAGTTTAAGAGTCATTACTATTATTCTGTGTGGTATAAATCGTTCTTACGTCTTGCCTTTCATTTGTACAATCAATTAGACCCTCAGGATTACGCTTGCCAATTAGCACAGTTTACTGTTGTTGCTTTGCTTACACTACAGCAACTCTGTATCAACCATCTATCTATTGTTACATATTTTTATTATTTTAAACACAATTGTCTATATAACTAATATTTGTTTGTTGTACTGATCATGAGTCATTCGTCATTAATTTTCCATTCATATTTTAGAACAACATTGTTACGTATTCATTATTATATATCGTTTATAACCGGTTGAAGATTCTTGAAATTCGTAAGAGGTCAGAATTATCGTAACCCGACTAATATACATAATGATCGTTCTTGTTTTTAATAAAATATATTAATAACACTAAAACATTTTATATATTCTATTAAATTAATAACGATTTCGGTACAATTTGTCATTTTAATACATTGCATTGTAGAAATCAATTTGATAACCAAATTACGTATATTCGTTTACGTATGTTCTTGGCTTTTTGCCACACTTTTATAAAAAAAAGTGTTGAATTATCGTCCTATATAACATGAAAGTGAAACCTCAGATACCACAGACGCGTAACCGCAGAATTTGCAGATTCAAAGATAAAGAAAAACAGTTATACTTCTTTAAATCGAATAAAAACATTTTCGCGGACCGTTGTAAATTTTACGTGTGAGAAGGCCCGTGTGCTTGCTTACTATTTTCGTAGTACGAAGGAAATTATCGACAGGTAAACCTGACAAAATATTTAATTTATTATTGAAAACTTCATTTTGACTATTTAAACCCTTACCATTGACGCCTAGTATTGGCTAAAACTAGTGGAGACACTTCTTCAAATGGATGACGATAAAAATAACTTCACTCGAGAACTATAATAATAGTTATATTTTAACAGAATGAGCCTACCACTAGAGACAATAAACAATATGCTGTCTCGTTCTTTTTAAACCTGTACAGGAGAGTGTTATCCGTAAAAATATAAAGGTAATTTTAATCAGACTGTATATTTACATTTAGTTTTATTTACAGACACTAAATTCTTATAGATGCGCATCGCAACGCGCAGTATTCTCAAATTCCAATGTAAATTTCGAACATACCTACACGTTGCATAAGCGTGTCCTTGCTTAGATGATGTCACTATGCTGCTACACTTCTCACAAAGTGCTGATTTACGTTAATGAGACGAATATGGTGGCTCATTAGTGGCTCTGCCTTTCTATTTGGTTGTTTTGATTTTCATTCTTTAGTCTTGGTCTTTAGTTGAGGGCGTTTGTATTATCTCTTGCTTGGTTCCTTAATGGCTAAAGCAGAAAGGCTAGCATGAAATTTGGTTTACAGTTGTGTACGTATCGTTTGAA